CTGCAGCCTCGACCTGCTGGGCTCCGGCGATCCTTCCGCCTCAGTCTTCCAAGTAGCTGGAACTACAGGTGTGCGCTACCACACCTGGCTAATTTTTGATTTATTGTAGAGATGAGGTCTCACCTAGTTGCCCAGGTGGGTCTTGAACTCGCGGGCTCAGGCAATCCTCCTGCTTCGGCCTCCCAAAGTGCTGGGATTACAGGCTGAGTCACTGAGCCCGGCTGGTTCTTTTTTAAATCTCTGAGGTCATTTTTATAGTAATTTGTTCCTTAAAGACATAATTAGCATGTCTTTTATTTCTTTATAGTAACAGTAATTTTTTGTTTTGTTTTGTTGCATCAGGGTCTTATTCTGTTGCCTAGGCTGGAATGTAGTGGCATGATCATGACCTCCTGGGCTCAGGTGAGGTCCTAAGCCTCTTGAATAGCTGGGACTACAGGCATGTGCTACTACACCCAGTTAATTTCTTGATTTTTTGCAGAGACAAGATGTCGCTATGTTGCCCAGGCTGGTCTTGAACTAGTGGACTCAAGCAATCCTCCTGCTTCGGCCTCCCAAAGTGTTGCGGCTACAGGCATGAGCTACTGTGCCCAGCCATGTAGTGGTTTTTTACTCTACCTGGTAATACTAACATCTGATGTCACTGTGGGTTAATGTTTCCTGTCTACTGTTTCTGCTGACTTGCTCTCATGATACTTTTTTTTTTTAAGTCAGAGTCTCTGTCACCCAGGCTGGAGTGCAGTGGCATGCTCATGGCCTCCCCACAACCTGCTGGGCTCCGGTGATCCTTTTGCTTCAGCCTTCCAAGTAGCTGGAACCACAGGCATGTGTCACCATGCCTGGCTAATATTTTGGTTTATTGTACAGACAAGGTCTCGCCACGTTGTTCAGATTGGTCTCGAACCCCTGGGCTCAGGCAATCCTCTTGCCTCCACCTCCCAAAGTGCCGGGACACCAGGCTTAGGCACCGCGCCCAGCTTCATGATACCTTGTTTGAATCCTTGTTAGATATCTTTTCCCAAGTTACTCCAATTTAAAAATTACTTTTTAAAATGTACATAATAAAAGGAAAAGAATAAGCTCTGTGGGGGATGATGTCTCTGTGTGATATGATTTCCCACAGACTCTGGCAGTAGATTTCTCAAGATTAAACAATTGTTGGGACCTCTGACCTGGACGCTCAACTTACCTGCGCTGTCCTCGTGAGGTCACTACAGAACGCATGAGTGAACTTCACATTGGTCAGAAACAGACCGGCAGCAGCTGCTTGTTTCAATCCAGTTTCTGAAAGAGGCTCATCTACTCCCTGTCCTGTGGCATATTAAAAGGAGGAAAAATAAGATTCAGTCACATGGAGGAGATAACGTAAGCTGTGTCTACCTATATTTCAGTGAGAGATTTCCTTAAGTGCTTCTCCATATAACTTTTTGTAGCACTAAGAGCAAGCAGAAGTAACCTACAGGTCAGGCATGGTGGCTCATGCCTGTAATCCCAGTATTTTGAGAGACCAAGGTGGGAGAACTGCTTGAGCCCAGGAGTTCAAAGTGAGCCTGGGCAACATGGCAAGACCTTGTCTCCTAAAAAAAAAAAAAAAAAAAAAAATCAAAAAATTAGCTGGGCATGGTGGCGTGTGCCTGTAGTCTCAGCTACTAAGGAGACTGAGGTAGAAGGATCCCCTGAGCTTAGAAAGGCGAGGTTGCATTGAGCCATAAGTGTGCCACCACACTCTAGTCTGGGCAACAGAGTGAGATTGACTCAAAAAAAAAAAAAAGTAAGCTATAAGCCTGTACAGGCTCAAGTATTCAAATGTTTCCCAAAATAAAGTTTACCTAATGGGAATTAAGTAATGATTAGAATACAAATGTCTTAGCTTTTCCCTCTTTTGTGTTTGCTCATCTCGTTATTGTGCATTTTTTTTTTTTGGAGTTGGAGTCTTACTCCGTTGCCCCGACTAGAATGTAGTGGTACACTCCCAGCCACCGCAACCTCGCCCTGTTGGGCTCTGGAGAGCCTTCTGCCTCAGCCTTCCAAGTAGCTGGAACTACAGGCGCCTGCTACCATGCCTGGTTAATTTTTTTTTTAATTTATTGTAGGGATGAGGTCTCCCCAAGTTGCCCGGGGGGGTCTCGAACCCGCAGGCTTAGGTAATCTACTCACCTCGGCCTCCCAAAGTGCTGGGATGACAGGCTGAGTCACCGAGCCCAAAATATTGTGCATTTTATAAATTCTGGCTCTGACCTTACAGATGCTATGTCAGGGTGGTCGTATCGTCACCTAAAAGTTTTTCCCTCTTTGTCCCCATATGGATCAAATGTTCAGTATTATAATGGCATTACTTTTCTTCCTTCCTCCCTCCTGCCTTCCCTTTCTTTTCATTTTTCATATAACAAATGCATTCGAACTTCTATTTCCAGAAGAGCTGATGAGACATTCTGAAGGGGCCTCATGCTACAAAAGAGCTGTGTGTGTGTGTGTGTGTGTGTGTGCACCCAAGTGTGAGCACACACATTTATACAGTGCATTGCTGGGATCACATGACATAAGGAAAATCTCCAAGGAACAAAGCAAAGCAACCAAAAAACCCTGAGCTGAAATGTGGTTGCTGACATGAAAAAAACGGAGTTGCTGTGATATCAGCAGAAGCCGGAGGGTTTGAGGAGGCGCCTCCTGCAGGGAACGGCAAGGTGGAAGAACGGACTCAAGGTTCTTGGAAGCAAGGGCTCCTGCAGGGGGCCAGGGAGGTCTCCGGCCGGTGATGGCATCAAACGCAAATCTTCAGAGCAAATCATTCTCAATAAAGGCCAAAAAGTGTTCCACTAATTTAGAGCAGCACACAAGATATATTCTACCATAAATGAAGAACAGTAAAAACAACAAATAACTGGTATAGAACCATTAAGACTTCAGGCATTGAAATCAGCAAATACATACTATAAAAAAAACTAAGATTAAAACATAAAGAATGAGGTTGGGCATGGTGGCTCACTCCTGTAATCCTAGCACTTGGGAGGCGGAAGCAAGAGGACTGCCTGAGGCCAGGGGTTCGATACCAGCCTGGGCAACTTGGTGAGACCTCGTCTCTACGAGAAATCACAAAATTAGCTGGGTGTGGTGGCATGTGCCTGTGATTCCAGCTACTTGGAAGGCTGAGGCAGAAGGATCACCTAAACTCAGCAGGCCGAGGCTATGGTGGTCATGAGTGTGTCACTATACTCCAGCCTGGACAGAGTGATACTACTACTCAAAAAATAAAAGAAAGAATCACGAAAATAAGCAATCAAAATTAAAAATAAATAATTTTTTTAAAAGCATCAAAATCAATCAGCTTTCTAAAAAACCCAAATAGGTTTTTTAATAACAAAAGATATTACTTCCAGGGGCTGGGGGGGGAAGAATTCCCCCAATGAATAAAGAGAGTTTAAGTTAAGGGAGGTTTAATAAAGACAGGGTTGAAGATATTACCCAGAATGCAGCATAGATACAAGGCAATAGAACACATCTCAGATACTTAAAGATGCAAATGAAAGAATGAGAAATAACATGCATTGCTTTGGTTGCTATAACAACAGATACTTATTTGTTGGTTTTGGAAGCTGGAAGTTCAAGGTCAGGGCATCAGCATGGCTGGGGTCTGGTGGGGTCCCTCTTGCAGGTTAAAGAATGCTGACTCCTTGTATGCTCACATGCCAACAAGAGAGGGCTACACCCCCATGACCTAATGACCTCCCAAAGACTCCACCTCCTAATACCACCATATTGGGTGGTTAGGTTTTCAATACATAAATTTTGGAAAGACACAAACATTCAGTCTACATCTCGCATCTAACTAGAACTGTAGAAGGAGAAGAGAAAAGATGAAGGGAAATTAGAACAGTTAATGGCTGAGAATATTCCAGAAATGAGGTAAGACATAAATCTAAGACAAAAAAAGTACAATGCATATCAAGAAGGATAATTTTTTAAAATCCCTCCTAGATATATTAAGGGAAATAAGAATACTAAAATCAAAGAGAAAATTTTAAAGGCAGTTAAAGAGGAAAACAGGCCGGGTTTGGTGGCTCAGCCTGTAATCCCGCGACTTTGGGAGGCTGAGGTGAGTGGATTGCCTGAGCCCGCGGGTTCGAGACCCGCCTGGGCAGCGAGACCTCATCTCTACAATAAATCAAAAAAATCAGCCGGGCGTGGTAGCGCATGCCTGTAATTCTGGCTACTCGGAAGGCTGAGGCGGAAGGATCGCCGGAGCCCAGCAGGCCGAGGCTGCGGTGACTGTGAGCATGCCACTGCCCTCCAGCCTGGGCGACAGAGTGAAACTACGATTCAAAAAAAGAAGCAGCAGCAGGAAAATTGACAAATGTATGTAAATCTAAACAAACATTTTCTAAGTAGTAAATGAAGACAATAATGCCTATGCCAAGTGGTTAAAAAAAGGACAGGACTAGGATAGTAGACAATAACAAATAAATACTTTGTGAGGAGAGGAGATGTCAATACCCATTCATTAGGTCTTGTTAGTGTGAACACTTATGCTCCCAAAATATGCATGTTAAAATCCTAAATCCCATTGTGATGGTATATTAGGTGGTGGGGACTTTAGAAAAAGCTTAGGTCATAGGAGAGAGCCTTACGAGTGGGATTAGTGTTTCTACAACTGCTCTTGTTCTCTGCTCTCTACCACACCAAGATACAACCAGAACGTGTCATCTGCATGGCCGGGTGCAGTAGCTCACGCCTGTAATGCTGGCGCGTTGAAAGACTGAGACAGGAGGATGGCTTGAGCCCAAGAGTTTGAGACCAGCCTAGGCTATATATTGAGACCTTGTCTCTACCAAAAATAAAAAAAATTAGCTGGGTATGCTAATGTGTGTGTAGTTCCAGCTACTGAGAGGGTTGAAGAGGGAGGATCACTTGAGCCCAGGAGTCAAGGCTGCAGTGAGCCATGGTGGTGCCACTGCACTCCAGCCTAGGCAATAGAGTGAGACCTCAACTCAAAAAACAAAGGTGCTATCTGCAAACCATGAAGCAGGCACTCACCAGACATCAGATCTGCTGGCACCTGATGTTAAACTTCCCAAACTCTAGAACTGTGAGAAATAAATGTGCGTAGTTTAAGCCACCCAAGCTATGGTAATTTGTTCTGGTAGCCCAAACTAAGACAGGTATGAATGATAAAAATTGAAAGGGAGTCATTAAAAGAGTAGAAATGCTGGGCACGGTGGCTCAACCCTATAAATGCAGCACTTTGGGAAGCAGAGGCCAGAGGATTGCCTGAGCCCACGGGTTTGAGACCAGCCCGGGCAACATGGCAAGATCTTGTCTCTCCAATAAATCAAAAAAATTAGCCGTCTGTGATGGCACATGCCTGTGGTTCCAGCTACACGGAAGGGTGAGGCAGAAGGATCACCTGGGCCAACCAGGTGGAGTGTGCGGAGGTTGTGAGCAGCGAGCCAGTGCACTCCAGCCTGGGTGACAGAGTGAGACTCCAACTCAAAAAAAAAAAAAAAAGAATAGAAATGGCGTATCACTTCAAAGCCAGTAGAAAGGAAAGAGTGAATAAGAAAACAAACACATAAGAAGTAAAAGCAAGTAAGAGGAACAAAGAAGACTAGAAAAAGAGGGAAAAACACAAAGAAAAAAATCCAAACACATCAATAACCAGAATAAAGATAAACAGGCCAGGTTCAGTGACTCATGCCTGTAATCCCAGCACTTTGGGAGGTGGAGGTGAGAGGATTGCCTGAGCCCAGGGGTTTGAGACCAGCCTCGGCAACTTGGTGTAGAGACCTCGTCTCTACAATAAAATTTAAAAATTAGGCAGGTGTGGTGGCCACCTGTGGCTCCAGCTCCTTGAAAGGCTGAGGCGGAAAGATCGCCTGAGCCCAGCAGGTCCAGGCTGCGGTGACTGTGAATGTGCCACTGCACTCCAGCCTGGGTGACAGAGTGAGACTATGACTTGGAAAAAAAAGGAACACAAAAACATGTGCCAACATAAAAATTTTATACACTTTCCACTCTTAGTTTCTTACGAAGTGAGACAAATGAACATTCAAAGGTAGGAGGTGAGGGGCTTCAGTCCAAAGGGCAACCTGTGAGGCGACGTGTCGTCAGGAACTAGGGCGCATTTCAGCGCCAGACCAGTCGGTCTCAGAAAGGGGGGTCAGGCACGCCGGGTGTAAACATCAGTTTCTGCAACCCCCAGAAGTCTCTAACCAACAAAATAAAATGAAATGCTCTTAAAGTCACAGCATAGAAATAATGTGTCTAGTCGAAAGTTCACCCAAGATATTCTTTAAAAGCCAGACTAGCTGGCTCATAGGCCAAGTAAAAGACGAGTCCTACACAAACGACCAAAAAAAACATGAGTTCAAATTACAGAACAAGGAAGAAAGAATCTCTTCAGAGCGATTAACAATCACATGAGAAAACAGGAGTTTTCTTCTTAAACTTCCTCTTTATTACTACTCAAAATTAAAATGATTATCTTAGCAGAAAAATACCACTCGCATCAGTCAGTAAACTTCATGTTTCCAAATGTGAAGTCATTTTAAATCCAGTTATATTTTAAGACACCAAGACCCGATATAATTCTTTCATCAGCTGACTGGGCCACTGAAGTTATACATAAAGAATCACTTGGAGAAGGGTTCCTTACAGCCAGATCACTGGAGAGATTTACTCTTCTTGGTTACCAACTGCTCTGATCATAGCTCTGTGGTTATGATGCTTTAATTCTGTAATCCCAATTCACAATAGAGCACTGCCTCCGTCTACCCTGCCCACCAAATCTGATTAACTCCCATATCACATTGACACTAGGGAGAGAGCTAAAATAACCATCGGATTATACCAACCTTGAAGTATTTTCTCCTTGTTAAATCTTGTTTCTCCACTAAAATAGAAAGGGGGAAAAAACTTTATTACCAGATTATATTATTTTTGAAAGGAGAAAAACAAATCAGTAATGAAGGGTAATCATATTTATAAAGTTATCACGTGACTCTTTTAACATACTTCATAATCTAACCTGTAAAAATATAATTTACTCTAAACTTATTTCCAAGTGTCTGCTCTAATGATGAGCTGAGAATTTCAAACTGCCCCAAATGAAAATGTATATGAGTACTTCAGGAATCCATCTTAAGTGAATTGCAGGTGGAAAATCCTAGTAAAAAATACAAATGCATATAGTATTTTAGTTAAATAATCTTGTTAAAATAAATACATTGATTAAAACTCCTTTCATAGGCAGCAGGACCAAAACATGCAAGTTGGTCCATTCGAGGCTGAACTGAAAGGGACCCTGACCAGCATGGGAAGGAAGGGAAAACACCTCCAGAAGACCCTGCCTTCTCCTGCCTACTAGAGCTTGAACACTTGTCTTTCCTAGTACTGACAACTATTTTGCAGACCAACTGCACTTTGAACTGAGGTTTGGGTACCACACTTTTTTTTTTTTTTTTTGAGTCAAGTGTCTCACTCTGTCCCACTGCTGGAATACAGTGGCACATTCGTGGCCACCATAGCGTCCACCTGCAGGACTCAGGCAATCCTTCTGCCTCAGCCTTCCAAGTAGCTGGAACTACAGGTGTGCGCCACCATGCCCAGCTAATTTTTTGATTTATTGTAGAAATGCGGTCTCGCCAAGTTGCCTGGGCTGGTCTCAAACCCGTGAGCTCGGGCAATCCTCTCACCTCAGCCTCCCAAAGTAGTAGGATTATAGGCGTGAACCACCGTGTCCACCATCTCTCTCTTTTAAAAGGGCACATTTAGACTGTATTCCATTAGGTAGATAATACCGCTGTTTATTTACTAATGTAACCATTAACAAATGTTTCTTTCGGCCACACTTAAAAAGATGAGTTTCCTGCTAATGGGCATTTGAGTTATTTATAATCAGTTGCTATTAGAAATAATGCTGTAGCAAATAATCTAAATATAAGTGAATGAAAGTATTTTCAGTAATGGGATTATTGGATACAAGGGTAAACAGATTTGTCATTTTGATAGATATTTCCAAATGACCCTCCATTAGCAAAGTACACTCACCAAAGTTCTTTTATTTTCCAAGATTTTTCTCCAGACATTGGGCACATTAAGGTCTCACAATCTCTGGCTATGTCTTTCGGGAACAGGATAGACACACAACTAAAAAGTCAATTCGCACACGGATGATAACTTATGCTGGGAGTGCCAGGGTACGATGGGAGCACAGAGTTGGGGTGCTTAAATGGGTAGATAGATGGGGAATGGTGCTGGGGAGGGGGGGTTACCTAAAAGAGCCAGATTTGTACTGGGTCTTAAAGAAACAGAACATATTAGCCAAGCCCAGCAATTCGTGTTTTAATAAACACACCAGGTGGTTCTGACACATACTCAGGTTTCAGAATCATTACTGTAGACACAGTCTGGCAAATAACTGTTTTTATCAACAAGGGCAAGGGTCCAGACAGAGACTTGAGTTTGTGATTCAGACTTCAAGGTCTGATGGAGTTCCTTTCTGGATATGAGTAAATCTACCCTATGTGACATTTTTACTATTATTTTCAACTAGCGCTTCACTTAAAATCAAAGGAGTGATCATTCTCCATCATAATCAAGGAATTGCAATTAAAGTCAAAGTGAGATGAATTGTTCAGGTACCAAACTGGCACAAATTAAAACTTGCACCTTACTAAGTCTTGGTGAGGATGGCATACCACACTGTAGGGTGGTGTAAATTAGCAGTGGGTGTCAATGGGCATAACCACGTTGGCATCACCTAACAAAGCTGAATATTTGCATACCCTGTGGCCCAGCAGTTCTACTGCTAGGTATCTACTTCTAGGCATGGATCAGCAAGCATTTAATTAAAGCTCGAAAAAACTGCAACTGAATTCCACCCTTCATGCATTTGCCCACTGCTTTCGTTGTAGGTCCACCCTGTCATCAGGCTTGCTCATTTACCTGCCTCCTGGCACCCTGGTCGGCCTCAGTTGCCCCAGTTGTTTGGTTACAAAGTTTTTGGTGCTTTTGCCTTGCTGGTGGCTTCAGGTTGTTTTTTTTTTTTAATTTTAGAAAGGAGGAAAATAATAAACATCTGAATCTGTTCAAAGCAACACTGGAAGGGTACACATGAATTGAATAAACATGGTCACCTATGAGCTGGGGGGACGAACGGGGAGACGAAGGACAATTGTTCTGATTTCTAAACTTGTGGATGTGTTGGCTTAAAAAACAAATGTAAGTTAAATAAATAAAATTACACACAACTATTTAAGCCTTGGTAAAAACCAATGCCACTGATTTGCCATGGTTAACACTGTAGTTCATGTTACCAAAAGATTTCCCCGCGCCTTTGGGAGGTTGAGGTGAGTGGATTGCCTGAGCCCGCGGGTTCAAGACCCGCCTGGGCAGCGAGACCTCATCTCTACAATAAATCAAAAAATCAGCCGGGCGTGGTAGCGCATGCCTGTAATTCCGGCTACTTGGAAGGCTGAGGCGGAAGGATCGCTGGAGCCCAGCAGGTCAAGGCTGCGGTGGCGGGAGCGGTCACGGCCCTCCAGTCCGGGCGACAGAGGGAGACTCCAACTCAAAAAAAAAAAAAGATTTCCTTCACCTCGAATTTCATTCACAAGCTTACAACATGGACGTGAAAGAGGACATTAACCTCTGCCAGTCAGAGGGAAAAAGCAGCCGCATCCAGAACAATGATCGAAAACCACCATTTCTAATCTAGGAAAGTTACCATGCATTGAATTCACTTCCTGTCTCAAGCTCCTTATCTTGATGAGACCAAGGATTAAACAACAGCAACAAAAATCCTGCTGTTTAAATACAAGGAACCCTAACCCTTAGACAGTAACTTTGCAGTTATTAAATTAATTTGGTCTGACGCCACCTCACGCAGAGCTGCAACCTAACTTGAGACGTAAATGGCAATCTGATTTGAATACATTCTTGTAAACGGTAACCAGGTCTCAGCCAATCACAAGCTGCAAATTGTTCAGACAAGTCCAAATAAAGCAAACACAGAGTTGGAACCAATCAGGCTGTTTTTGTATGTCACTTCCATTTTCTCTCTAAAAATACTGTCTATCCACACTGCTGGGTGGAGCTCTCTGAACCTGTACTGCCCAATTCAGGTATCATTTCTTTGCTCAAATAAAGTTTTACTCAATTTCCAGCAAAAGCCAAAGAGGTACCCTCATTTTATACATTTAGAGTCAAGGGTGAGGAAAAATTTAATAATTTTGCCACCTAAGAAGATCATGCAAGAGCTGCCAAAAGAGCAGGTCTTTACAAATCACACAAATCCAGCCAAGGATTACTTTTTGTGTACTTGCTGAAAAGATTAGCTCAGGGTTTTAATTTAATCCCAATAGCTGATCTGATGAAAGACCCAGATTAAAATAAAAGATTATACTGTCAAAATGTCATTTTACAGAAAATGGAATCCCAGTAATTTGATAGTTTTGTAAAGGCACCAACCCTCAATCAAAGAATTCTCAGCAAAAAGGGAACAGCTGAGAGATAATGAAGGATTCATTTAGCTAGAAATCAGTAGAGATTGCCAGATGCAATGATAGTATTATTAATAGTCGCTGGGATTCACTTGTAGTTCTACTGGGCATTTTTGCCTTCAAATCACTTTATAAATATTTCAGAGTAGAAATCCAAAAATAGAACTTTTTTCCAAAAACTTTCATAAATATTTAGTTTTACAGCTATCAGCTTTATCGAGGTTTATATAAGTAATTGAGCAAGGGTTTAAAGTTAGTTTGTTTGGGGAATGGGAAAGTAAAGTAGATGACTAAAATAGCATTACTGTTCATCCATTTCCCTTGACCGAGTTTGACTTGTGATAGCGGCAGTGAAGGTAGAGGGAACCGAAAGGTCAGAGGACTATATTTTGAAGGAGTCAGAAATAACAACCCTCATTTTCAAAATCTGCAGTGAGATCCATTTCCAAAACAGAAAGCCCGACTCTGCAAGAATCCAAATGCTTATGCCAAGACTTTAGGTCTTATGACCAGCCATTTTTAGGCCCTGCAAATATACATCATTCATTTTGTAGGTTATCACGTTGTTCTTTGCTTAGCTATTTTATTTTGTGAGTCCAGATTTATATTTTGCAGTATTTTCTTAGAACTATTTAGAAAGCTTAATTCCTTAATACCGTTTAAATAATTCAAATTCAAGAGACAATACTCAGCTTGCCACAAAAGGAAGACAAATCACGGGAAACTATTATACATTTGGGGCAAGTTTTCAGAATAGATATTTAGTGTACATGAAAATGTAAAGCCTCAATATTTAATCAAGAATACAGCTCAACCTGAATTCCTTTACACCAATTAATTTGTTTACAAATACAGATTTCAAGGGCTAGTAACATGGAGAACTTCACTAGGTGGTTTGAGAAAAAACTTGTAAAGATGCTCAACTCATGATATATTTTTTCTAAATATAGATTTAAATATAGATTAGGCCTAATTGCAGAGCCTCTCCCAGTTGATCAATCCTATACCCAGAAAACAAGTATCACACTAGCATAACAAAAGTATCTTTATACTGTCATGAAGCATTGAATTTTTATCTTATAAAAGTATTAAATTACAGATTAATATTATTTTGCTTGCTTTATTTATTTATTTTTGAGTCAGAACCTCACTCTGTCACCAAGGCTGGAGTGCAGTAGCATGCTCACAGCCACCCCAGCATTGACCTGCTGGGCTCGATCCTTCTACCTCTGCATTCCAAGTAGCCGGAACTATAGGCACCCGCTACCACACCTGGCTAATTTTTTGATATATCGTAGAAACGAGGTCTCACCAAGTTGCCCAGACTGCTCTAGAACCTCAGGGCTCGGGCAATCCTCTCGCCTCGGCCTCCCAAAGTGCTAGGATTACAGGCTTGAGCCACCATGCCCAGCCTGCTTGCTTTATTAATGTCTACAACAATAATTAGCATTAAATAAAAAGAAACTGCACTAGACATAGAATAAGTAAAACAAATCAGTTTTGCTATCAATAACTTTACTAACTCATCTTCCACATTTAATTTCAATTAAAAGTAAATTAAATTTAGTTTGCAAAAAATCTTAAGAGTTTTAAGAGATGGCTAAAATGGAAGTGTGACTCAATAAATAAATAAATAAACTGGAAGCGATGGCCAGATGAGGTGGGTCACTCCTATAATCCCAGTGAGAGAATTGCTTGAACCCAGGAGTTCAAAAACAGCCTAGGCAGCATAATGAGACCTCATCTCTACAAAAATCCAAAACATGAGACAGGTGTGGCAGTGCACGCCTGGACTCCCAGCTACTCGGGAGGCTGAGGTGAAAGGATCGCTTGAACCCAGGAAGTCAAGGTCTCCATGAGCCGTGATTATGCCACTGCACTCCAGCCTGGGCAACAGAGACTTCAACTCAAATGAAAAAAGGATGGAAGTGAAATGGTTAGTTAAGTGACTGCAAACACCCACAAATAACATTTCAAGGAACCAGGACCTTAGTGTTACGCAGACGATGCCAACCTACATGTTTTGAAGTTTCCAACAATGCTATGCCTAAGATCACAGTAAGTTACAGTTTAAAAATGATGGGAGACACCAATTTTAGAATCTTGGGCATTCTGGGTTTTTTTGTTTTTCTTTCTGAGTGTCAGGAATATAGGCGAATTTTATTTTATTTTTTAGGAATTTTCTGTGTTTTCCAAAACATCTACAATCATAGGTTTCTACATGATTAGGAAAAACTTCACGTGAAAAAAGAAAAGCATGCTTGGAAAGTTCCTTCTATGACGATTGTGAGTAAGAAACGATGATAAAAGCTGGGTGTGGTGGCTCAAACCTGTAATCCCAGCACTTTGGGAGACCAAGGTGAGAGGATTGCCTGAATTCAGGGGTTCAAGAACAGCCTGGGCAACTTGATGAAACCCTGTCTCTACAACAATCAAAAAATAAGCCAGGCGTAGCAGTGCACGCCTGGAGTTCCAGCTAATTGGAAGGATGAGGCAGAAGGATTACCTGAGCCCAGCAGATTGAGGCTGCAGTGGCTGTGAGTGTGCCACTGCAATCCAGTCTGGGCAACAGAGTGAGACTCCGA